GGGGTGGGGGTGGGGGGCCTCCAACCCAGGGACCCTGGGCCCTTTACCCTCCCTGAAAGGCATCATTGAGTTCTTTTGCCATCCCTTGAAGAGCGATCTTTCATCTAGCTTAGGCCTTTTAGCCATGATTGTGTTTGGCATACTGGAAACACGATATCTTTAAAGGATCCTTTAGTACATGTGTTCTCAATGTTAAAACTGTACAGGGAAGAGTTGGGTGCAAGTAGTTGATCTGGGAGTTGATCCCAGCAAGTACAGAGGGAGGAGGGCATGAGGAGTTGGGAGTGATTGGTAGGATCTTGCTGTGGGCAACAGGACCATTCCATGGGAACCTTCTGGTCCTTGCCTCAGAATCACCCCCACTGAGTGGTGAGGAAGCTAGAGTGTTTATGCAGGGCCAGTTCCTTTGATCATTGGTTGAGGGTTGCTAGGTCAGCAGGAAAAGCACAGGCTCAAGGAGACTTGGGTAGCTAACACGGTGTGAGGGCAGCTGTCCTTAGAAAGCTCCCTGTGCAGAGGCCGTAGAGGCCGTAGACAGTGTCCCGGCACTAGCATTCTTGGCTTCCCTTAACTGGCTAACATGTCTCCTTCTGAAGTTTGATAGTGACCCAATTTCTTATTTCCTACATTCCCCTGTCATTGCATATGTGTGGAGGCTGTGAAATTCTAGGTGAAGTCTAAGAAACTACATGCAGCTCAGTTGAGCTGGGAAAATAGGTGTCCACAGAGGACCGAGGTGACCCAATCTCTAGGGTGCCTAAGCTCAATTACTCTTCAGGTTCCCACCTCTGAGTCTGCGTGGGAGCTACATGCCTGCCCCCGCGTACTCCCTCCCCAGCCTCAGCTCCAAAGCTGCCTCTTCAGAGCCCTCGCTGACCATGTCTTGGTTTGCTCAGTCTTCCACTTCTTGCTTCCTTACAGCCCGGGCCTGGGCTGTCCCTCTTATTTCTTTGCTTCTGGGGGTCAGGGACTGTATCTCCCAGCCCAGGCTCTGGTAGGTGCCCCACACCTAACACATGAACCCGCAGCGAAATACCTGTGAGTAACTACACAAATTTCCTTTGAATAAATGAACCAGATGAAATGTTTTTTAAATTTTGTTTTGTTTTTGACATCTTGAATCATGACTCTCCCTCTTTCCCTCATGTTTCCCATCTCAAATCTGAGCTGGTAATTGGAACCGTCTGCTTACAGCTGGGTCAGCTGTAACGGGTGTTCTCGGCAATGACCTGCCCTTGTCACTGCAGCATCTCATGTGTGCCGGTCTGTGGTGCCTGGTTGAAGGCGATTCGTCATGCAAGACCAAGTTGGACCCTCCCCTGGATGGCACTGAGTGTGGGGCAGACAAGGTAACTCCCTTTCTTCTACTGCCACCTAGATGACAGCTCATGGCTCCTGGGCCTTGACGTGCCCTGAAATGATCTTGGGCATCTCTTCTTCTCAGAAGTTGCCTGTACTTTGTGCTCTTGAGCCAACAAAACATCCCTCAGGTATCCCTGTAGTATCCATAGAGCTCCCTCCAGACACACCTTCTTCAACTCACTCCTCTTTTCTAGCAAAATACAAGCATGTGCTTACTATTTTTTGTTATATTTGCTCCTTTGATCATGAGAGATTTTTTAAAAAGGAAAACTTGACATCAGTGTATTTTAAATGCAAAGTAATATATCACTTCACCTACAGCACAGCCTCTCTCTGGTCTTGTGGGAAGGCTTGGAAGAGCGTTGGCAAGGAGATGAGATTTCCATGCTGACACTGGGATTGAGATCCACAAACTTGTACCTCCTGCCGCCCAGGTGACGTGCCACACAGGGAGGGAAATTCCTTCTCAGAGGATTGGCTTTCTCTTATCCACAGAAAGAACTGAGGCTCCCTCACACGATGTCAGTAGTGTCATTAGAGAGCATCCCACCCAACTCTGAGGTTCAGAGACCAGAGTGAGACATTTTGCTTCCACTCCCTCACCTGAAGTAAAGTTTGCAGAAGCCTAGCTCTCTTCATCAGCCGCGCGAAACGGTCCTTTTCCCGGAATTACAGCATTTCCAATGGAGCGCATTCCATGTGGAATTTCAGGGCAAAACCCAAACCTCAGGAGGCTAAACGCATGTTGACTAAGGAATGATCACTAAGAAATTTTGTAAGTATGCACATTCCAGAAGTGTCTAATTGGTTTTTGTCATCAAGTTGATTTCCACTCAGAGTGACCCCATGTGGATTAAGGAAGAACTGTTTGTGCTGCATACAGTTTCTGGTGGTTGATTTTTGCAGAAGTGACCAGCGCTCTGCTCTAAGGCACGTCTGGATGAACTCAACATAGGGGTTGGCAGCCATGCATTTAATGTCTGCATCACCCAACCATGGAGTCAGTTCTGACTGGTGGTGACCCTATTTGTGCTCCCTAGGCCTCTGGTCTGTGACCTTTATGGACGCAGATCTCCAGGGGTCATTGGAGAGGTGCAAGCATCCCATTTGTAGGTTAGTTAGCAGGTAAGCACAAATCAATTGCACCTGCCCGGGACTGTTAAAGTACAAAGAAGAGGGGGTCATGGTTTTTTAGTACAGGTAGGTCACTAATTTGGTTACTACTCTCCCTCCCTGAGTGGCCTTCGACCTATGGGTCATCCTCTGTGTTTTAGTGGTGCCGAGCCGGAGAGTGTGTTAGCAAGACACCCATTCCGGAGCATGTGGACGGAGACTGGAGCCAGTGGGGTGCCTGGAGCATGTGCAGCCGAACGTGTGGCACAGGAGCCCGCTTCCGGCAGAGAAAATGTGACAACCCCCCGTAAGTCCCCCTCAGCCAGTTCATTCTCCCAGGTGCTCTGACAAGAGTTGTCTGTGAGGCCGGGTGGAAGATTTCGAACTGCGGCACCCACTGTCTCAAAGAGAGCAGGACCTACTTCCCACGGGAAATTTGGGCATTGGTAAAATGAACCTGAACCAAGAGTCTGGGATGCAGGGGTATCATGTGTGTCCAGTAGTGACTCAGCAAGTCCTGCCATCAGGAGGGCTCAAAGAGCGCTCGTGTGTAAACCCGATGAGTAAAGCTGAGTGAGGAGCTGGCTTGTGTATTCCTTGGCACGGGGTCCTGGAAGAAAGGCTCCCAACAAGAGCGCTGCAGATGCGTCTCTCCTGGTGGCTGGGTTTGATCAGCCTGGGTCATCCTAGAGAAGCCTGGAGAGAGTGGTTCTCGACCTTCCCAATGCCGCAGCCCTTTAATCCAGTTCCTCACGTTGTGGTGACACCCCCCCCCCCCAGCCATAAAATTATTTTCATTGCTACTTCATAACTGTCATTTTGCTACTCTTATGAATCGGGCGACCCCTAAAGGCGTCATGACCCACAGAGGACCATGAATCAGTGCTCGGCCCTCTGATTCATCCCCCAAGTTTTCTTTGTATCTTCCTAGGATGTATGGCAGTGGGAGGGGCCAGGTATTTTGATTCTGTCTTTGCAGATTACCTTATGAGTCTTTGGAGGTTCTTCGATAGAATTCTTACCTCGCAGGTATGAGACACGGGTCGAAGTCCAAGCCAGTGCACCTCACGTGCAGCTACCACTTCTCTGTCTGTGGGGCCTTCTGTGTTGCTATGCTGCTGAACAGGCTGGGCAACCTTGCACACTACGATAGACTGGGGGGCAAGCCTGGTGATCTGCTTCCCCACGCAGCCAAGGCAGTCCGCTAGATTGTAACAAGCTGGCCCGCACCCAACTGTGCATATGGCCCAGGACCATTCCATTCTGTTGTGCATAACGTTGCTATGAGTTTGGGGGCTACTGACAAGCCCCAAACTCTAGCTTCATAAAATCACTTGCCAATGAGTTGATGCCCACACCCGGTGACCCCATTTGTGTCAGAGTAGGACTGTGGTGCCCAGTTTTTAATGGCCGATTTTTCAGAACTAAATCACCCAGGATGTCTTCCAAGATGACTGCGGGGTGGGCACAGGCCTCCAGCTTTCCCGTTAGCTGCCAAGTGCGTTGTCCAGGAAGCCCCAGTTATCACACGAGTGTTCTTTCAGGGGCCGTGGTGATGCCCTAACCCTTCACTCAGCTTTCTTGGTACCTTGGCTCATTTGCCAGAAAATCCAGGACTCGACTTTATGTCCCGTTACAGTAATTCCTGCACCAGAGGTTTTCTTGGTCCCTTTAAAGTTAAAAACGTCACATTTTCACTCTTTTAAAAGTAATTTCATATGTCTGTGTGCCATTACCTTGTCGACCTTGAAAACGAGCACACTATAAATTATGACTTAAAAGAAAGGTGTTAGATCCACAGATAAAGTCATGCTGATCACTTACTCAAACCCTTCTGCATTTCAACATCAGGAAGCCCAGGCTGCACCTCAGCTAATTAAATTGCGTACTCTGGAGGGGAGGGCCCAGGAACTGGATGGTTTGATCCCCTAGAAGCTTTCACTTACAGGCTAGGGCTGGGAACATCTGGGGCTGCAATAATTACAGACCACAAGTGAGTGGCTGTAAAGGACAAAAACCTATTGTCTCCTGGCTCTGTGAACTAGACGCACAGATCAGGGCTTGGCTGGTGAAGGAGGGCCCTGCAGTGCTGGAGTCCCTGTCCTTCGTTGGCTGGTGAGAGGGCTTCACAGGCACTGCCTTCCCTCGCAGGCCTCACTGCCTAACAGGGATACCCCCATTCCCAAACAGGGTCACAGGCGCATTTCAGGCTCAGGTTAGAACCTCCGTATTTACTTTGGAGGACGTGACTCAGTCTATAGCACCCTCATGCTGTGTGTCCTCAGAGTAAAGAGGAAATCCACAGGACCAGAGCATGCAGGCTGCCCAGGAGTCATGGTTCCAGCCCTCAGGCTTGAACGCATCGACACAGCGACACAGCGCTGAGAGTGAAGTCTTCATGTCCACCCCCGAGAATCCAGCACCACCGCTTCTTTTCCCATGGGGCCAGGAAATGGCTCAAGACTGCAAACAGCGTACCGGTCTCCCTACTCCTTCTGTCCCCGTGCTCACTTCTGGGATGTTGTTCCTGCATCAGGCTTTTAGGAAACCTAAGCAGAGACCTGCCCTGTGCCAAGGGTTCTGCTGGGTCTAGGCTTGTGTTGACAATTGGCAACAGGTAAAATCTCTGCCAACCCTAAAGGGGCACAGTTCCACAAACTTTGCTGGCTCTTCCCCAGACATCTTAAGCCTTCTTCCCTGCCTTCTCAGTAAAGAGTATCACTACCTACTGACCAGCTTGAGTCCCCGAATCATCTTCTTGTACTCTTTTCATCCTCCTTCAGTCTGATCATTATAAGAATGTTGAACACACAGCTTTGATCATGCAACCCTTGTGGGCACTGAAATGTAGGAAATCATTCAATGCTGCCCTATGGAAGAGCCATCACCTGTCCACCAGTAGCATATCACACATGTGGTGGCTCGTGTGATGCTGGAAGCTATGCCACTAGTATTTCAAACATCAGCTGGGTTGCCCATAGTAGAGTTTCAGTGGAGCTTCCAGACTAAGACAAGCCAGAATGACAGACCCAGCAGTCTGCTACTTCTGCTAACAGTCAATGAAAACACTATGGGTTAGAACAGAATATTGTCCAATATTCTGGAAGATGAACCTTCTAGATGGAAAGCACTCAAAAATCCCAAGTGGCCTCAGCCGTGGAATTACGCTTACCAATGTTTATGAAGAGGATGAAGATTAGACAACAGTTTGTTCTGTTGTTCGTATGGTTGCCGTGTATTGGAGCTGACCTGATGACCATTAGCGTTAGAGAAGTAATGTTTTATTCTGATTTCGCAGATTAAAAAGATGGGCTCCCAGAGAGTAAATCACTTCTCCAAGGACGAATAGCTAGACGGTGGAAGCTGGGTGTGCACCCAGGCACCAGTCTCCTGCTTCCTGCTCACCCCGCCAATGAATTGTCCTCACACGACCTGGAGACCCCACTCAGGCCTCCGTACAATTGCACTTCATTCCCTTTCCGGCCATCCTGCTGCCTGGCTCCAGGTCGGACATAATCCCTCTGGATCTGGCCTCTCGGCTTCCTTTCTGCTGCCTGCACACCGTTTCACCATCAAGATCTCTGCCCCGCCCATCCCATCTCCCAAATTGCCTCGGTCCCTTCTGTGCTGCAATGGAATGTCTCTCCTTAGGGAAACATCATCTCTCCATAGCAGTGGGGCTGCTTCTGTTCCCTCAGCACCCCTCTTAGCTGTCCCAGTTATTAGACCCACAAGGGCCTGGGCAGCAGCTGCTCTGCATGCATATTTTTCTACCTCCAGTGGCTCTTGTTGTTATGACAAAGTGCCAGACTGATGAGAACAGAACTGCATTCGCTCGCAACACAATTCTGGAGGCCGGGAGTCCAGACTCTGGTGTCTGCTGTGTTGATTTCTTTGGAGGCTCTGAGGGAGAATCTGTTCCTTGTGGCTCTCCTGGCTTCTTCTGACCCCGGCAGGCCTTCGCATCCGGAAGGAGCCCTGGTGGAACAGCTGGTTACAGGTTGGGCTGCGAACTTTAAGGTCAGCAGCACAAACCCACCACCACTCCATGGGAGCAAAATGAGGCTTTCTACTCCCATAAAAAGTGTTTACCTCAGAAATTCACAGGGGCAGTTCTGCTCTGTCCTATAGGATCACCGTCAGTCAGAATCAACTCTAGGGAAGTGGGTGTTGTGTTGTGTCATGTAGTGTAGTGTAGTACATAGAGTACAGTGTAAACTCCAGCCTGATCTTCCTCATAACAGCTTCAAAAAACATTTTCCAAACACCACATGGGTTAAGATTTCAACATAAATGTTGGCAGGAAGCAGCTTAATCTGTAATAGATTCCATTTTGTCCTCATGGCTTCCCACAGAGCAGACACCTCATCATCAGTGCTGCCTGGATATGTGCTTCCTGAAGGAATGTGATCTCTCATTTTTCAGTGCCCCTAAACACAAATGTTATCCTAAGTTGTTCTTCCAAGAGAGTGAGCCATTAAGTAGGTCCCTCCGTTTCTCTCAACTCTTCTCATGAAGGCCTGGTACAGCCGAGGATGGGGTGCAGGTCTACGGCACCACCTTCACTGCCCCTCCCCACCATCCTTCCACCTGGCCTGGCCTCCCCAGTGAGACTGTAGCTCACAGCTAGAAATGCTTCCAAACATAGCCTGGCCTAGCTTCTTCCAAAGTGGGGGAAATATTGTGTCTTTACTTCAAAAGCGTTGATTCTGTGGACGTCATCTGATCTTTGGCAGTCACAGTGCAGGTCGCTTTTTTGGTTTGAACAGAAATAGTTCTCTTTCCCTTTGCAGTATACCTTTCCTCTTTTTTCAAAATCATTTTATTAGGGGCTCATACAACTATTATCACAATTCAGACATCCATCCATTGTGTCAAGCACATTTGTACATTCGTTGCCCTCATCGTTATCAAAACATTTGCTTTCCACTTGGGCTCTTGGAATCAGCTCCTCATTTTTCACTTTTTTTCCCTCCCTCCCCGCTCCCCCTTTCTTCTTGAACCCTTGATAATTTATAAATTATTATTATTTATCATATCTTACACTGCCTGACGTCTCCCTTCACCCACTTTACTATTGTCCATCCCCCAGGGAGGAAGTTATATGTAGATCCCAGTAATTGGTTCCCCCTTTGTACCCCATCTTCCCTCCACCCTCCTGGTATTGCCACTCTATACCTTTTCTTTAACCTGCCTTGGGTGAAGGGAGGTACCTGGCTGGCCTTGGGCAGGGGAGGGAGTGGGAGTGCGGGTGTCCTTAGCAGCAGTCCCTGACGCTTACAGGCAAGATACACATGGACATACTTC